AAATACTGAATTACAGTCAATCACAGTCAAACAAGGCCCCTTCCTCTCCCTCTCTCAAGCAGCCAGGACTCTGCAACAACTCTAATTGCTTTCACACACTCCCAAACACAGTCCTCCCACCCAATATCCTCAATCACCCCTCTAGCAGCTCTGTCTCCTGCTCCTGCTCAGATCAATCTGAGACCATACATATTTTTTAGAAATGATTTAGAAACATATCTGAACACCTTGTCTTAAAATATTTTATTCATCATGTTAAAAGAAAACGTTCCATAATAATTTTTTTTTCCTTTTCTTTTTTCAATTTTTTGGGGAAAAACAAAATAGGCTTCAGGGGGAAAAAATTCTTCCGGTTTTCCCCCGGGCGTTCACATCTCTATTCAGGAGTCAAGGTTTCCTTCGTCAGATACAGGAGCAACGAAGTATTCACTGATCTGTGTTGGGCTTGTTTTCCCTAGTGGGTTTTTAAAAACGCTTTGTACAGATCTCACCTGCTTTTGAGATTTCAGGAAAGGAAGCGTTAACTACTCTACTGCATCAGAAGACCCTTAATAGCAGCATCCGTGTTGTAATGTGCTAAGCCAGGATGTCCTGCGGGGAGGGGTGCAGAGATGAAGCCTCTGCCAGCAATTGGCTGAGCCCAATACACTTGTCCCGTTCCATTGAGAGGGGTGGCTGTATGGGCCTAGGAAAAGAGGAGGGCAGAGGTGGGAGTAAGGAACTTGAGGGCTTAGGAAAGAAGGGGATTGGACTTGGGAGGGCACAGCTCAGGAAACGGAGGGGTGGGATTGGGTGGGGAGAGAGTAGCCAGAGAGGGGAATTGCACATGGCCCAGGGGCCGCAACGGGGAGGCTGTGGGTCCCTGGGAGTTTTGGCCACAGGCCTTTCTTCCAAGTATAATGGTCTGGTTGCTGCCCTTCGGCCTCTCCGAACCTGAACTCTGTAAAAGGTGCCGTTGATACAGAAGGCATTCATTGAGACCTCTCACCTTCCTTCCTTCGCGTTGGGAGGACTTCAGTGTGTCACTCCGGTTTGGAATATCTTTTGATTTCTCTTCTCTCCTCCCCCCCTTTCCCGGTGTGTTTTACTTTCCCCATCCCCACCCCCTTGCCTCTAAAGGGCAGAAGCGGTTGAGAAGGCCTCCATGCTGCGAACGAAGGCCATGCGGGAGAGAGAAGGGCAAAGAGAGATGAAGAAATACAACTACACACTCCTGCGGGTCCGTTTCCCCGACGGGTACATCCTGCAAGGTAAACGGGGTGACTTGCTTCTGTTTCCTGTCCTGTCCCCAAGGGCAGATCTGCCCATCCTGGTTTTAACCGCCGTCTTCCCAGAAACTGTACAGGCGTGGGGAACGAGAGTGTGTCCCAGGCACCAAGGGCTGGATGACTGGGGTTTGAGCTGTAGTTAACTACACTTGTGAATTTAGTGTCAAGGATAATCCATTGGGGGGGGGGGTGAACTGCCTTGAAACTATGTGCAATTGGAACTTCTCTCCTTGGTGGTTTTCTTTCTTTCTTTTCTTTTTTTTGGTATTTTTTGTTTGTGTACCTGGAAGTCATGGCAACCTCTGGTGACTGACCCCTACGGGGGGGCCTGGAGGATGTCAGTCCTAATATCAAATGCCGACTGTACTTCTTATTGCAATTGATTGCTACTAAGGCCCTCGCCACCGCTGTACAAACTGCTTGCTAGCACTTTGTGATGGGTTTTATATTTATATTTGTTTCGTTTTATCTGTTTTAAAATTTTACGTAAGCCGCCCCGAGCCTGCTCTGGCGGGGGGAGGGCAGGGTATAAATCAAATAAATAAATATTCAGAGAGGCGGCTGAAAAAAACTGCCCCCCCCTCCTGCTTCTGGTATTCCTTGGAGGTCTCCTTCCCAAGTACTTGCTGGAGATGACCCTGCTTAGCTTCCGAGATTTGACGAGATCGGGTTTGCCTGGGCTCTCCAAGTCAGGACTGGGACTTCCCTCCTTGATGGTCTTCAAGTTTGGGTTAGGGTTAGAGACTGCCAGGGAGGGGGGAGCTCACCCTCCTCCCCAGGTAGCTGATTTCCACTGTTGCACAACTCTTATGGTAAAAAAATGTTCCCTAACATCCAGCGGGTACCTTCCCGCCGTCCCTGTGGGGTCAGCATAAGTTAGCTGTGGTTTAACAGCACTTTCCGCTCACTACCAAGTCACTGTATTTGTATTTATTTTTTTTTAAAGGGTTGTCTTTTAACAGGACATTAGCAGGCTGGGGTAGGTGATGCACTGTATTCTTGGTGCTTGGGGGGGCAACAGTTGGAGGGCTTCTGTTGTCCTGGCCCCACTGCTAGACCTCCTGGTGGCATCTGGTTATTTAACTTGCTTCTGTTTCCTGTCCCCAAGGGCAGATCTGCCATCCTGGTTTTAACATTGGCTTCTCTCATGTTCTTATATGGAGCAGAGGTCCATCAGGGGCTATGAGCCACAAGGTATAGATAGGAACTCTCGGTCTGGGGCAAGTGATGCTCTGTATTCTTGGTGCTTGGGGGGCAACAGTGGGAGGGCTTCTAGTGTCCTGGCCCCACTGCTGGACCTCCTGATGGCCCCTGGTGTTTTCGGCCACTGTGTGACACAGTATTGGACTAGATGGGCCACTGGCCTGATCCAACATTGGCTTCTCTTACGTTCTTATGTCTGGTGCAAGGGATGCTCTGTATTCTTGGTGCTTGGGGGTGGGGGGGCTTCTAGTGTCCAGGCCCCACTGGTGGACCTCCTGATGGCCCCTGGTATTTTTGGCCACTGCCTGACAGTGTTGGACTAGATGGGCCACTGGCCTGATCCAACATTGGCGTCTCTTATGTTTTTAAGACATGCAATGAGCTGCAGCAGACACCACTTGGGAGGAGGCAGTGTTTGGCCACGTGAGCACGCAAAATGCCTCTTCCACATGAGTCCAAGAAGCTTTCAGCTGCATCCAGATGTCTTACTTAGTGTAAAGGCTGGTTTATTGCACTAATCACGGTCCCTGTAGCAGATCCCTGTTTCTGCCCATCTTCCTCACTGGGTGAGCCGGTGGGCCAGCATTTGCCTGTCATGCCAAACGAGAGTTTACTATTAAAGCATGGCTTAGCGAGACATGCAAATGCTGCTTTTGTTAAGTACGGGATAAACATCTGACAAAGTTTCTTAATGCCCACCGCCTGAGTCAGTCAGATGAACCCGACGAGGGATTGATCCAGTGGTGTTAAAAACACACACACACACCCCTACGCTGCACCCTTAATGATCCGTTTCAAACGCTCCCTTCTCCGCAGGTGCCGTCTGCGCTCCTGACGTTGACGGGGGATGAAGACATCATGGCCGACATAAAAGAGCAGATGGGCTGCTTGCTGAAACCGGACCTCCTCTCAGACGTACAGATTCTGTCCTGAAAATAAAACCGGCCCCGTTCCGTTGCGTGCGGGGCTCCCTTCTCCCCCTTCCCCCGTGTCCAATGAAAAGCTGCTTCGGCCACTTCTGTTTCTCTTGTCTCATGAAAAATAGCAAGAAGAACCACCGGCCCGTTTAGTGCTGGTTGGTAAGAAGCTGGACTCAGGGCGGGCTTTGGGTGAACGGTGCGAGACGCCATACGGGGAACGGGTCGAGCTGATTTGCACATGGTTTTTGGAGATGTTTTCTACAGCGCTGCTTCTCTCCCCCCCCCCATTTATAACACTACCTGTATCTGACTACTGCCCTCTAGGAGGTCTTGAGCTGCTCTTAGTGGTCTCCAAGTAAAAGCACTGCTGGGTAACCCCCCCCCCCCGATGAAACGCCTCCCCCAATGGCAACAGAAGGGAGCAGGATAGTGTTCCCTCTAAGTTGAATTAGTGTGAGCTAGCTCAGTTTTTTTAGCCCCTGGCTCACACGTATTTGTCTCGGCTCAGGAAAGATGGGTCCAGAGCAAACTGATCTATGCCGTAGCCAAATCGCTCGCTCACAACTTTAATGCCAGGAGCTCACAAAGTAGAATTTTAGCTCACAAGACTCCCAGTTTAGAGGAAGCCCTGGACGCGACTTAGCCCAGTCAGAACCTTTTTTCTATTTGCTTCTGCAGGTTTCACATGATCATTTAGTCAACAGGAGAAGTCCTTAGGCTTGTTAAAAGAAAGTATCCGTGCCTGCTGTTCTGGGCCTTTGGGGTATTTTGTTTTCTCCGTTGGGTGAACGTTTCGAAGTGGGAGAAAGAGCAGCAGGCGTGAGGTCTATGACACCTTCCCAATAGCTGGTTTTTAATCTGGAAATGTAAGAGGACTAATATTTCCCATCCGGTAGAGTTCAGTGCGCTGGTTGCGTTTGTAGATGTGGGAGTGCTGTTCTCTGTGGGGAGAAAGAAGTTGCCAGTTTCCCACTGGGGGAGTCGGAACCGCTCACGTGACTCAAGCACCCTCTTGCTCGAATTCTCCTGTCGAGGGGAACCTGGAGGGCCGTCTTACTATGACCCCTGAGGCCAGTTCTAGGCAGAGCCTGCAGGCTGCTTCTTCCCCTGCCCTTCAGAAGGGGGAGGGCAACGGACTCTAGATAGCTTTAAGGGCTATGTAACCCACAGCCCACCCATATCGGGCATCACAGCCTGACATGGATATTAGATGGCTTCCAAAAAGGGGCTGCTGAACTCTTGGGAATCTGAGTGGCAGCTTTTAAGAATAGGATGCTACACTAGTAGACCCTTTGGCGATACAGAGGACTTTAATAAGAGCCACGGTGATTGCCGGATTGTAGATGTGCTAAGAACATGCTTGGAAAGTGATAAACGTCCCTGCTGGAGTAGGCCAGGGGTCCCCCTAATCCAACTTCCTGGAGAGTCCTTAAACAGGACTTGGAGACCACGACCTTCCCCTGATGTTGCCTCCTGGCACTGGTACTCAAAGGCTTACTGCCTCCAGGCACCATGGCTAAGTAACCCTTGATCTAAGCCTGTGCACGTGGCTAGCATGACATCCAGTGAATTCCACAACTTAATTGGTGGCATTTCCTTTCATCTGTCCTGAATTTAGTGTACATTAACTTCATTGGGTGCCCCTGAGTTCTATTATTACGAAAGAAGGAGAAAAGCTTTATCTACTTCATTCGGTGTCTACCCCATATATAATTTTATGAATTTCCAGTGTGCTTCCTGAGCATTTTTATCTCTAAACTGAAAGTGCTAACCATTAGCACTTCCTCTTATGAAAGGTATTCAAACCCTGAATCTTGGTTGCCCCTCTTTTGAGATAAAGTGACCAGATCTGTTGGCAATACTGCAAATTACAGTGCACCCCAGATTTATAGAGGGCGTTGCAATATTGGCCATTTTATTTTCAGCCTGTTTCCTAATAATCCTGAGAGTGGTTTGCCTTTTCCCACCTCCATCTCAACCAGTTCAGACACAATCAGCGTATACTATTTAGAATGTTTTTTGTTCCAATGTGCATCACTTTATGCTCACATGCGTTGAACTTCATCTGCCACGCTGTTGCCCACTCACCTATCTAGAGAGAGCTTTCCCGCAGTTCTTCAGAATGCATTTGGCTGATACTGTAATCCCCCTGCATAGATCTATGGTGCGGAAGGGCTGTTCTTACGAGTTTTCACCATCCTGAATGATCTGACATCATGTACAAACCAGGCCACTCCATTGCTTACCCCTAATTCCACATCATTTATTTAAAAAACAGTACTGGTCCTTGTGGGACCCACTGCTCAATTGCTTCCTTTGCAAGAACCGTCCCTTTATTCCTGCTTTCTACAGTTTAACTAATTTTAACCCATAACTGGGAGGCTGACTTGGGAAAAGAGGGGAGGCTAGATTTTTTTTTTATTAGAGGGAGAGGTCACTGATGTGTAAAAAGAAAAGGCAATGATACAGAACACACAAAAAACAGGCATCCACAAGGCACCTGAAGCCTTCCATTTCAGCTTAACATAAAAGAGACACACCACAAAACAATTTGCTTTTTTTTGGTATGGGGGCCCACCCCCCCATCCAAAATTTCAATAATGCTTTTATTAAAGAGATTATGTGTAGTACTTAACTAAACCCCCCCGAAGAGCTAAGCGTCTAAAAATACATCTTCAGCTTCCACTGATTTGAAGCAGTACAAAGTGCTGTCTTCTCTTTACAAGGAATACAGAGTATGTTCAAGTATCTTTTACAGAAAGAAGATACAAGAATTTTTAAAAATATTCTAAAGGATTCTACATACATACAGAGCAGTAAAGTTAGTCGGAGGTCAAGTCAACAGTGTCTTGTCCTAGAGTTGGCTCCTCCGCTGCTTTCCCTTCCGTCTCGACGGGGACCCCCGACGCAGGCTCTGCAGAGACAGGGTGTTGCGGCATAAGGTGAGCCTGCAGCGCGGTGCGACAGAAAGCCTCCCAAGTGGAGACTCAAACCCACTTTTCTCACAGCTGCACTTGGCCACAATGATTTCTAGGTAAGAGGCTTGGAAGGAGTCCCTTGACTCTTCCTCTGCCGACAAAGTCACTCCCCTCCCCTCCCCAGAAAGATGCCTTTTCTGTCGGTCCATCCAGCGGAATGTAACCTAGTCCGACTGAATCAGACCTCTTGGTCCACCGAAGTAATGACTGACTCATTTCCCCTTGTTACCTCCTTATCTGTTTCTACCTGTAATCCAATTAGAGATGTGAGGGCCTGGGAAGAAACCGGAAAAATTCGGGGGGAAAAACGTTTTTCCCCCCGTTTTTTTCCCCTGAAGACTTTTTTTTGTTTTTTCCCGAAAAATTGGAAAAAGAAAAGAAATTGATTATGGAACATGATGAATAAAATTTTTTAAGACAAGGTGTTCAAATATTTTCCAAATCATTTCTAAAATATATATATATAGTATCAGATTGATCTAATTTCTGTGCACTGAGGACAAACAAGTCCTAGGTTACAAACTGAACTCTCCAATGCAAGAAGAAGATGAATTTCTTCTTTTAGGAGGGGCTATTGTCAGAAGAAAATAAAAACGTTTCAGTTTTGTTTTTGCATGTGGGTGGGTATTCTGTTTGTAAGAATTGTTTGGATACACTATATTTTTAATATGCTAGTTGTGATAATTTCATTCCAATTAAAAATGTCCATAGTCATATTTTATGTTCCTAAAGTAACAGAATGACTTTCTGTAACAGAAAGACAAAAGAAATGCTAATGTAGCATTTTTTTCAATGTTTCCGAAAATTTCCGTTTTTTCCTGAAAAAAACTGGAAAAACGGGTTTTTTCCCGAGCTTCAAAATTTCCGGAAATTTTACATCTCTAAATCCAATATAGGCCAATAAAGGTCTGTGAGGGAGAGAGACTGTTCAAAGTGGCGGCAGCCCTCTGAGGTCTTGGGTGAAGGTTTTTCACATCACCTTTACCTGGAGATGCCGGGGGGACTGCACCTGCATGGCAGCCTCCACTGGGAAGGCAAGACAGCAAGGGGACACAACAAAATCCCAGAGAGGGAGACGACCTGGGTGGGCTCAACAGGAAGACTTTTTGACATCATGTGAGTGGAATATGTGTCTGGGCTGGTTCCAAGGGGCTTAAGCGAAAACCGAAGGCGTGTTGAGAGAGGACAGTGGTTAAGAGACTCTCAGCTCTGCCACAGACTCAGCTGGCAGCCACGGGCAAGCAGTTAAGGGGACAGTAATACCTGTCTTACAGGGCTGTTGCTAAGATGACTGAAGGAACATGAAGGGCTTTGGCTCCATTAAAGGAACTCGAGAATGCCAAGTGGCACTGCTGTTCCTTTAGCACTCACCAGAGGCCCACTTGAGAAGCCGATCCCCCTTCGTCCTAAAAAGAACCCATCGCCGAACAGGGAACTACCCACCCCACCCAAGCTCTTCGTATTAGAACAGTGTCAACTAAGAGTAGTCCTGGAATTGCGGAGGTAAGGAGGGGGGGGGGACGCTTTGTAGCTGAAACCACCTCCCATCCCAGTAAGACACGGAGGGGAAAACAAACCTGACCCAAAAGCTGGAATCAAGAACCAAAAGGGCGAGAAGGAAGTCTGATGAAGGGGCAATATTAAAAACCTAGTTAAAATTTCGAATATACAAAAGTACAAGTATTTATTAGGAAGGCAGTTAAAAACATACATAAGGGCCCAATGAAAGCCTTGTAAAAAAGTATAGCCTAAACACAAGGGCCAGTGCACATGACCAGATGCGTTTCTGCCCTATTGGGGCCTTCTTCAGAGGTCAAACAATATGGAGGTACACGTAACTTAAATACATATTGCAATAAGATAACCAGTAAGTGAATACTGGACCAGGAAAAAAAAAGAGGCTTTCACTGGGCCCTTATGTATGTTTTTAACTGTCTTCCTAATAAATACTTGTACTTTTGTATATTCGAAATTTTAACTAGGTTTTTAATATTGGCCCTTCATTAGACTTTCTTCCCACCTCCGAAAGCAGAAGATCGGCATGGCCCCAACCAAACACAAAACCTCATCAATCTCATTTGGTTCCTTGGTGTGCCTCCGGAGTTTGTTAACCTGAGGAGAGCGCCAGGGGGCGGGGGGGGGGTTACACACACTGAATAATGCCCTTTGCCATTGGATATCACTGCGTGAAAACAGCAAAATCCACCTGCAAATGATTGCTAAAGTCCACTGAAAGTGGATTGTTTGTTGTGTGTGAGAGCATCCACCCGTGTCTTAACTGGAGTCAGTGCAGAATGAAGGTAAGAGCAGCTGAGATTGTTCATTAGCACAAAGCTGACAGACTCGACATGTCCCCCACTCCTCCTCTTCCTGGGGGTGTGTGTGTGTGTGAGGGACTAAGGGGGAGCTCTTCAGCTTTGCCAACCCAGGACCGGAGCAAGGAAAGGGGAGCTGGTCTAGTCCTTTGAAAATGTTGGCAGAAATGACAAAGATGTTTCATCATAAGAGTTTCCAGCTCCCCCCCCCCCAAAAAAAAAAACGAAAGCAGAAATTCTTATAGAACCTCAGCAAAGCCCGTAAGTGGGTCTTGCACCTAGGGTTACCGTATTTTGAAAAGCAAAAAAAGAGGACATATTTCCCAACTGACTTCTTCAAACATCGGATCACTTTGACAAATCTCCTTTTAAATACCCCGACTATTTTAAGCTGTGACAACTGCTACTAACTAGGAATATTCCTAACCTTCCTTGTTTTTAAATAACGACAATTTTAATGTATTGGCTTAGACTAAAAAATAGCACCATTTAACAATTGATCCGGTTACAATTGTTGAATTTTCAACACATAACTAATTGTAAAATGAAATTGTATATACAAGTTGTTATTAGTACAAATAAAAATATACTTTGTGGGCAAAGTCTCTTTCAGGTCCACTTCTTTCTCCTTAAGCTGATCTTTTTCAACAGTTGCTTATTGTTTAAGAGAGAGGTGTGGAATTCCTTGCAAGGTAATGTGCATATAACTATACTGGACTAACAGTGTACCTCGAAGTGATTCAGAGGACAAGTTGCAGCTTTCTTTGCTCTGCTGACTTTGCATCAGAGAGAAAAGATGTTCCACATTTGCATTACGGGATGGAATGGCAAAAAAAGAACCGTGCAGTCTTCAAAAGTTCTGAGTGACACAAAATGTTTTTGGAAGGCTCTAAGTACTTGCTCCACTTTTGATGGGCCTGAAGGTTAATGAACTCATCGCCACCTTCGCATCCACTCACACACATCTTGAGGTTGCTGAATTGGTTGAAGCATTTCCCATCATCTGTGGGCACACCCCTATCCAAGATATGTTTGATGGAAGATTCTTATTCCACTCGGGTGACTCACTAAGAGACATCCACATAAAGCATGAAAACTTCCATAGGCTGCATCCTTTCCCCCAGATGTTCCATGCAACTGTCATAGAAGCCCTTTACTTCTGCACAGAATTCTGCATCAAGATCTTCTTTGACACTTCTCTTCTAGCAGGCTCTTAACTTTGAGGGAGATGCAAGTTGTGGCTCTTTCGCTCAGTGAGCATGGCGTGAACAGATAGGAATCGGGCCAGCTGTGGAACAACCTGAAGCTTCGGGTCTGCCAGCACTGACGGTGGCTTTTGCCACTACAGAGGTATTTACCGTTGGCCAGTCTCTGGCGCTGGAACCTCAGCCGGGAGACACTTGTCTTAACCGCCTCTCTTTTTCTTTTTAAGAATGGCAACGGGGGCCTTCCTTCAAAGGCTTTTCTGACTTCCATACCAACGAGGCAAGAACCTCCAAGATAGCGGAGCCAAGCATGAGCGTCCTGCTGGAGCGGCAGGGCTCTCGAAATCGGAGGGTCAGCCTCGTTCTGAGCCAATACGGTCTACCCACATTTGCATAGCCCTGCCTGGAGCAAGAGGAGGCGCGACCTGACCGGTTTGGATGACTTCGCCCCCCTGAAGGAGAACCAGCTCAACCTTCCAACCCAAAAATAGGACAATTTTCATCAGTTTTTTTCTTTAAAAGTGCCCGAAAGAGGCCAGACACCAAAAAAAGAGGACATCCGGTAACCCTAGTTGCAGCCCAAGGGGCACGAGGGATAAGAGGGCACGGTTCCTGTGCTGGTTCTCTCACCTGCGCTCTGCTGTACGTCCAGAAGGATGCATTCGTCCTCATCCTCTTCCTCGGTGTCTGCCTGAAATCCATCCATCTCCGTGGTTTCAGCCTTAGAATTAGAAAAGGGGTTAATCAGGTTTAACTGTCCCAGGTGGGCATCAAGCATGATTTATACAGGGGAGACCAGGCCGGAGAGGGTAAAAACCAAAACAAACAAAAACACACCATGCCCCTTCCTTCATGAACAAAGGCAACAGGGTAGGGCTGTGTGTCTATGTTGTGATTCTGAAGGACTGGGAGAAATGGACAGAATCCAGCCTGGGTTGTTTTTTTTTTAAAGCATGAGACATATGCTTGCACAAAGCTGCCTTTTACCAAGTCAAACTATTTGGCTCAGTACTGTCAACTTCAACCATGGGATGGGGGTGTGGAGCAGTGTTCCCTCTAAGCTGAGTTAGTGTGAGCCGGCTCACACATTTTTGTCTTTGCTCAGGAAGGAGGGCTCCAGAGCTAACTAATTTATGCAGCAGCCAAACGGCTCACTCACAACTTTGATCTCAGTAGAATTTTTGCTCACAAGACTCCACAGCTTAGAGGGAGCATCGGTGGGGAGGTGGAAGAGTTGAAGGATGCGCAACCTGGTGATTCTCCTGGGCCTCTCAACCGCTTTCAGCATTATCAGTCACGGTATCCTAACTGAACTGACTCTTGAGGTTACTGCTTTGTGGGAGCTTTGGTCCTTAGGTAGCAGCTTTTTTGGGGGGGCCCTGCTGCTCCCCCCCCCATGAGAGCTGCCCAATTGTGGCTCTGTAGTGGAGCGCCTGCTTTGCATGAAGAAAGTCTCTGGCATCTCCAGTTAAATGGATGTCAAGTAGCAGCAGGTACCCCTTAGCCAGGATCTTGTGGCTTGTGGGGCAAGTTTTCTTTCTGGTGGGGCTGAAGTTCTCAATGCAGAAAGAAAAGCCATTTAGACGATAGAAAGCTGTTACCAGGATAGATCTCTGAATTGCAAGCTATCAGCCACTTTAGATGACAGTTCTCAGCTGCTGCAAGTTAATCACTTCTGCCAGCCTAAGAAACAATTCTGCTAACAAGCCTGCAGGTGGGGGTGATGACCTCTATAGTCAAGAATGCTAACACTTAGGCAGAAAAACTCTCTTAAAGGAGACCTGTTTCTTGACACAGAGTTAGAATGATCTCCTAGAGGTCACCTACTCAAACCCCCTTGATCAGTGCGGAAATTAGTCAACTACAGCACCCGGCTCTGCTTGAAGGAGTGCACGCCTTAAAAAATGTTTAAAAATGATTGAAAAAAGCATTTACAGGAGAAATTCTTGTGGAGCTGTCCACTGTTGCTGTCCGGGAGCCCCGAACAGCCTGACAGCAGGCACTAAGAAGACCCTTTCTCCCCTCCCAAAACACTGGAGAGCCACGGTCAGACCACTGGTCCCTCACAGCTCTCAGTATTCTCCTCTGACTCTCTGCAGAAGGCAGATTCCCGTGTCCAGAAGGGACAAGGGTGTGTGGGGGGGAAGCAAACAAATTTGCAAAAGGCGGCAAGGGGGTCCTGGAGAGCCTGTGAGTGCAAGCCACAGAGCAGGGAAGCTTCCTAGTTGGAGAAGAAGCATCACACCTTTCGATTTGAATCAGCTGGATCTGGCGAGTCTCTTGGGTTGGATGGACCACCGTGGTATGTCAGTACTAAACCGTTAGGAGGCCAGTGTGATTTTCTAAGGATTGGGCTAGAGAGGCAAAGTGGGCACAAGCAATTATCTGAACAGTAGGAGATTATCCTGCAGGACCTCACCTGTCTGGAACCCCGAGGTCTCTTCATGAACTTGGTGATGGACATGCTTCCCGTCGACTTCCTTTTTGCAGAGACCGGGGTGGTTTGCGCTGCCACTACTCCTGGTGAGTTGCCCCCTTCCTCCTTGGTCACTGAGGGGACCTGGGTGGTGTAGTTCCACTGGCAAGGGACGGGCAGATCCTCTTGGCCGAAGCTCTTCAGGACCTCTGGGTGGACGTACCAACACATCCGGTGCTCGGGCCTCTTCTCGTACACAGAGTTCTCAGAGATGATCCGCTTCAGCCTAGCTTTGGAGGGGACACCGTTCCCCTCGTGGACGGGAGTCTGGGCCCGGGAGGGGTTGGGACTCATAGGGCTGTTCTCTGTGCTGCTGGGAGCGGCGGCGGCGCCACTGTTGCTGTCCGGCAGCAGCCCCAGGCGACAACAACCCTGGAATTCTTGGATGATCACTTTGCTTCCGTTAATGTTCCCGTGGAGCAGCGGGAGCAGCTGTCCCAAGACTACAAAAGAGCAAAAATGGTTTTAGGCAGTTCTAGTACATCTAGGCCCAGGTAGCAGCCACGGCCAAGGCAGCCTTTTACCATCTACGGCTGATTAGGCAGTTGGTTCCCTTCCTCAAACGCAATGACCTGGCAACAGTGATCCATGCTATGGTCACTTCGAGATTGGACTACTGCAACGCTGTCTACATGGGGCTGCCCTTGTCCCAAATCCAGAAGGTGCAGCTAGTGCAGAATGCAGCAGCCAGGCTGCTGATGGGGCCTCTCTATTTGAGAGCACATCCGGCCTGTGCTGAGGGAGCTGCACTGGCTGCCGAAAGCATACCGGATTCGCTTCAAGGTGCTGGTTTTGACCTTTAAAGCCCTATATGGCCGGGGGCCTACCTACCTGAGGGACCGCCTTTCCCCACAGAGCACCGAGGTCGGGGACTTTAAATCGCCTGACTGTCCCTGGTCCCAAGGATGCCAGACTGGCTATCACCAGAGCTAGGGCCTTCTCAGTGGTGGTTCCATACTGGTGGAACGAGCTCCCGGAGGACATCAGGGCCCCGTGGGACCTCTTACAGTTCCGCAGGGCCTGTAAAACGGAGCTCTTCCACCAGGCCTTCGATTAGGAGCCGCCACTGAACGAGCTACTGAACATCTATTACTGGCACTTTCTTTGGGATAGTCATAAGGGGTCAACTTCAACGATCGCCATCTGCACTTTATATTTTATTGTTGAATTTTATGTTTTTATTGTAAATTATTATTGTACGCCGCCTTGAGCCTGCTAATCAGGCAATGCGGGATAGAAATCAAAATAAATAAATCTAGACAACTCCGATTGCAAGGACCCAATGTACACCTTTGGCCGGGGCATGGTTCCCAAATACTGAGTTAGATCCCACAGATGTTGCATTAGCAGGAGTGCTTTTCTCTGGCACAGAAAGCATGATGCAGGAGGACTCCTGTGTCTTAAGAAAGCACCCCCAGATAGTGGAGCAGATCCATGGGATCCCAACACATTATGGATAATGCCGATTACAATGTGCATTGTACCCTTTGTATCCAGAGTCCCTTCTTTACAGTACCCCCTCCCACCGTCTGACTGGGATATAAAAAGTTGGATCTCCATTCCAACTTTTATCTGATGAAGACAGCTTCGACCCTTGAAAGCTTATAACCGCAACATCTTCTTGGTCTCTGAAGCGCTACTAGACTCGACTTGAATACATTACGGAGGTGCTCAGCTGCTAGATGCTTAATACTAATATATTTTTTTCAATTTTTAAAAATCCTCCCTCTCTCACCTTCTCTAAAAATTCAAAGCAGCTTACAACCAACCCCTTAGAAGGCAGGAGAAAATGATCAATGCAAAAAACAAGGTCCAGGGAGAGAAGACTGCCCTGCTTTTAAAAATCACCAATCGTTAATAAACGGGCTTATGGGGGGTGTGGTAGGAAAGGTCTGATTTGCTGGCCAAAGGGCCTGGGTTCAAATCCTGGCATCTCGCATTAACAGGGTTGGCGGGAACAGGTGCTTGGAAATACCCCCCTCTGCCCAGGACCCTGGAGAACTGCCCCAATCGTTTCACCTCGAATGTGGTGTGAGATGTAAGTGTCATAGAGGTTCATAAGGTTGTCAGTGAAAGGAGTGAACCCTGCTAGTTACCCTTGAAATACTGAGAGACACAGAGTCAGGTGAAGGGGGGGGTGAGATAATGCAGGGAGATGAGGGAAACTGGGCTACTCAAGCCCGTAACTATACCGTGAAGGTACAGATGAAAATCTGGGAAATTTCTGGCTGGTTATCTCCTCTTGCCCCTGCCAATATGTAATTTCTAAGCTTCTGCAAGAGGCCAAAATGTTCTGAGCTCTTGGCTGTTTTAAAAAAGAAGAGATTGGATTTATACCCTGCTTTTCACTCCCCGAAGGAGTCTCGGAGCGGCTTACAAACTGCTTTCCCTTCCCCTCCCCACAACAGACACCCTGGGAGGGAGGTGGGGCTGAGAGAGTTCTTTTGAGGACTGCTCTTGAGAGAACAGCTCTGAAAGAACTTGTGACTGACCCAAGGTCACACCAGCAGGTGCATGTGGAGGAGCAGGGAATCAAGCCCCGTTCTCCCAGATTAGTGTCCGCGCTCCTAAACACTACACCAAACCTGCCTTTCCCTCCTCTACCCCCCTCTCCCCATTTTAAACCTATTACGCTTATGGTCAAAGGCTCCTTTGCCGAGTTCAAGAGACAGGGGTTTGTCGGCACCTTCCACCCGCCCCCCTTACTTTGCTGGTCTGTTGTCTTCTTTTTATCGCTTTTCTCTGTTTGCTCCTCGTCACCAAGGCTCGTGTCCAGGACGGAAGCCTGGAACTGCTGGAGGAGCTTCAGATCTGAGCCGGAGCCGTGGCTGCTCTCCTGGCCTTCCCAGACACACCCGATCTTCACGGGCTGCAAGACTCCCAACCGCTTCCCCTTGGCGATCAGCTCGTCCCACTCTTTGGCCTTCAGCTTCTGGCGAACCTTCT